GTGGGGTGGGGGCGGGGGTATCAGCGCCACCTGGTTCTGACAAAGGTGCCTCTAGGTATTTCCAGCTGTGGGTGGTGGGGGAGAGGGCAGTGAGTCGGGGGGAGGGCGGTGAGTGGGGTTGGAGGTGGGGGAATCCTCGAGGTTGGGAATGGCTGCTCACCCCACACAACAGACACTCACTTGTCCCTGCTGAGGGTGTGATGTGCATTAGTGCTTGTACAAGTGCTTGTACAGAGGCCCAGAGAGGTGCAGACACTTGCTCTAGGACACACAGCAGGGCGGTGGCAAGTCCTGGCCCTGGGTTCTCCCTGATCTTCAACATCTCACCCCTTTTACCCTTTTGTTGTTGTTGCTCTTTGGGCCACAGGGTGCTCAGGGGTCACTCCTGACTCTGTGCTCAGGATTCATTTCTGGTTAGCTTGGGTTGCCGGGGATCGAACCCGGGTCAGTTGCAAGGCAAGCACCCTCCCCTCTGTACTACTGCTCCTTCCTCTTTTTTTGGGGGGAGGGTACACCCAGTGGTTCCCAGGAGTTACTCATGGATCTGCACTCAGAAATCATCCCCTGGCAGTCTCAGGGGACCACAGAGGATGCTGGGTATCGAACCTGGGTCAGTTTGTGTGCAAGGCAAGTGCCCTCCTCCCTGTACTATTGCTTCGACCCCTCTTTTTCGTTTTTTTTTTTTCTTTTGGCTTATGTTTTGTTTCTTGGACCACACCAAGTAATGCACAGTGCTTACTCCTGGCTCTGCTCTTAAGGATGCTCAGGGGAACTTATAGGGTGTCAGGTTTGAACCAGGTCAGCTATGTGCAAGGCAAATGCCCTCCCTGCTATACTATGGTTCTGCCCCCACCCCCTTTTTTTTTGCTTTGAACCCACACCCTGCAGTGCTCAGGGGCCATTCTTGGCTCTGTGCTCAGGAGTGATCCCTGGCAGTGCTACAGATCCCAACCTGGGCGGGGCTCGGAAAAGCCCTGTGCTCACTCTCTCTCCTGCGCACCTGTTTTTTTTTCACATGCCCTTCCGAGGGGCGCTCAGTGTGCCTAGCCCGTGGTGTGAGCGGCTGTGCAGGTCCTTCTGGCTGCCCAGCACTGAGGGGTGACTCAGAGCCACAGACCAGCGCAGCCCTCCCAGCGGGGACACTGGGCAGGGGCGGGGCTCAGCACTCCCGGAGGGGTGGCCCACATCCGATTCCTCACGACAGCCCTATGGCCCCCCACCCCTGCGTCCACAGGAGCTGCTGATGGCTCACGATTTCACCAAGTTCCACTCCCTGAAACCGAAGCTGCTGGAGGCGCTGGACGAGATGCTGACGCGGGACATCGCCAAGCTGATGCCGCTGCTGCGGCAGGAGGAGCTGGAGAGCACGGAGGTGGGCGTGCAGGGCGGCGCCTTCGAGGGCACCCACATGGGCCCCTTTGTGGAGCGCGGGCCAGACGAGGTGCTGGAGGACGGCCAGGAGGGCTCCGACGAGGAGGCCGAGTGGGTGGTGACCAAGGACAAGTCCAAGTACGACGAGATCTTCTACAACCTGGCGCCGGCCGACGGCAAGCTCAGCGGCACCAAGGCCAAGACCTGGATGGTGGGCACCAAGCTGCCCAACTCCGTGCTCGGCCGCATCTGGAAGCTCAGCGACGTGGACCGCGACGGCATGCTGGACGACGAGGAGTTCGCACTGGCCAGCCACCTCATCGAGGCCAAGCTCGAGGGCCACGGGCTGCCCGCCCACCTCCCTCGCCGCCTCGTCCCGCCGTCCAAGCGGCGCCAGAAAGGTTCCGCCGAGTGAGCGAGCGGTGGCTGCGCGCACCCCGCCCCGCCCGGACTGCGGGGAGCAGGTGCCTCCTCCGCCCTGCCAGGGGGTGCAGCTTTCCCCTCACCTCCACGCAGGCTCATCGCCCCACCCCACACCACCAGCTCATCTTCGCGCTCCGGTATTTATTAGGCGCCTGCTGTTTGCAGGGAGGCCCCATCCCGGGTGAGAGGCTTAGGTGTCCGCACCCCCCCACTCGGGGCTCCGGGGGTGGTGCCTGCCTCCCATCTGAGCCCCGACTCTGGAGGGACCCCCCAGCCTTGCTCATGCCCTTGGTCTGGCCCCACGAGGGGGCGGGCACGGAGGGGGAAAGGCCACTTCCTGCTTTGGCGGCTGGACCTCTCTGGAGCACCCCCCCCTTTCACTCTGCTCACACCCCTTCATTTTTGCTGCTTCCAGATGGTCCACACCGGGGTTCTATTCCCTGGGCTCCATGCCTCCCGCAGCTGGTGACCTCCACTCTCAGGGGTTCATTATTTTAAGGGGCCCCTACCAGATCTGAAGGCCACAGGGCTGCCTCTTAAGGTCCTTTACAGGGACATGCTGAGGGGAGGGGTTCTTGGTGCTATAGCCCTCCCTGGACCTGCACCCCATTTCCTGCCTTCACCGGGCTGGAGGGGGAGGGGGAGCAGGGAGGGAACCATGCCCCTCCGGGTTGCTCGTTGGGACTTCCTGTCCCTGAGCACCCCTATTCCATGCCTGGGGGGGCCTGGGGAACCCCAAAGTGCCTTCAGCACACAGCGAATAAAGCAAGGCTTCTTTGCACATGGTACCAGACTGTCGTTCGCTGGGCTCTGTGTATGTGTGTATGTGTTTGCTGGGAGGAGGGGGCGCTTTCCCCTGCCCCCCCCCAGGGAAGGGGAACCCTGGACAGGGTTGAAAGTGGGGGGATCCCCTCCGAAGCTCTCCAGGGCCTGGGTGGAGGCCTTGAGTCAACTCGGCGGAGCCTGATGACTCAGGCCTGGGCTGGGGGCCAGGTCGACATATTTTCCGAAGAAATGTTAACTCTGGAGCCCTCCCTCCGGGACATCCCTCCCTCGCTCCCGCCGCGGGGGCCTGGGAACGAGCGGGCGAGGGTGTGAGTAGTTGCGCACCGCGTGTCCCTCTCCACCGAAGTCTACCTCCTGGGTACATAACGGACACGTCACAGCAGGTCCAGACGCGTTCCTGGAGGGGACGAGGTGACACTGCCCTCAAGACACCTCGACCGCACCCCCTCCGCCCCCGTGTGCGCGGGCGTGCGGCCAGAGGACGGCGCCAAACAGCGGCCGGGACTCACGGTCCCGGACGCGCTTCCAGCTCAGTGCCCGCCCGGGACCGGCCGCCCGTGGCCCCCGGCGCCCTCTGGCGACGGATGCTCAGCGCTGCAGGCGGCGTCGGGGAAACCGGTTACCTGGCGGGCGAAGCCAGGCACCGAGTGGGCGGGGCTCCGTCAGTAGAAGGCGGGGCTAGGACCATGTGGGCGGGGCCATGTCCGTGGTAGGCGGGAAAAGCCCCGGGGTCGGCGAGACTAGGCTTGGGGTGGGCGGGGCTAGATCCTGATCGACAGGGCTCGGTCCGGGGTGAGCGGGGCTTTATTCCGGGGCGTCGCCAGCCCAGTCGCACCAGGAATCCTGTTGCGCTCCGCGGCGTGGCCACCCGCATGGCGCTTTCCCTCTGTAGTCGCTCCCCCTTTTCCCAAGTGGAGCACGTAGTAGACCCCGGGTCCCCGTGAGCGGCTGCCAAGGGCCTCCGAGCTTCCTTCCTTATTTGTAAAGAACAAAGGAACTGCCTGGAGAATGCAGTCGCTGGGGAGCAGGCAGGAACAAGCGTCAATGCGGGGCATGGTCTCCAGGGCTGTAGAAATGGACCTTCTCGTCCGGTCTCCAGAAAACCTCCTGGGGCCCATGTACCATCACGCGGACTCCAGACCAATTTACGGGGCCGCTGTACCAACATGCTCCCCATATCGCAGTCTAACGTGTAACAGCGGGTTTTTCTGGTATGCCCAGCTTTCCTGTTCTGTGCGGCCAAAGAACGTCCTCACATTCCGTGAGTTCTGAGATTTTTCTAAGATTCTTGAGGGCACGTTGCGAGGTTAGGCGTTTTGAAACTGGAAGCACGTCTAGTGCTGAATCCACCTCCGATGAAGGTTTTAGTGGGGCAGGGGTGGGGGCAGAGGTGGAGGCTGGCACACACAGCAATGCTCAGGGGTTACACCTGACTCTGCACTCAGGAATCACTCTTGGCGGATCCGGGGGATCCTATGGCATGCCGAGGATCGAACCGGCGTCAGTCGGTGCAAGGCGTGCGCCTTCCCCTCTCTAGCACTGGTTATAATTTTTTTTTTCTTTTTGGGTCACACCCGGCGATGCATAGAAGTTACTCCTGGCTCTGCACTCAGGAATCACCCCTGGCGGTGCTCAGGAGACCATATGGGATGCTGGGAATCGAACCCGGGTCGGCCGTTTGCAAGGCAAATGCCCTACCTGCTGTGCTACTGCTCCAGCCCCGGTTATAATTTTTTTTAAGAAAACAAGGTTGAGGGGAGCACAGCGGGGAAGGCATTTGCCTTGCACGAGATCCACTGACCCCAGCACCCCAAAGAGTCCTCCGAGCACCGCCAGGAGTAATTCCTGAATGCAGAGCCAGGAGTAACTAATTCCTGAGCATCATCAGGCGTGACCTCCCCACAAGCCCCCCCCCCCCCCCCCCCCCGCAAAAAAAAAAGGCCCTCCCGTTGATCGTCGATTTGCTCGAGCGGGCCCAGTAACGTCTCCATTGGAGACTTTGTTGTTACTGTGTCTGGCATATCGAATACTCTCGGTAGCTTGCCGGGCTCTCTGAGAGGGGCGGAGGAATCGAACTCGGGTGGGCCATGTTGGCCGCGTGCAAGGCAAACGCCCTACCCGCTGTGCTATCGCTCCAGAAAAAGGAAAAACAGGTTAAAAATAGCAGTCCGGGAGTAGGAAAAATCACATATAATGCTCATTAAAATACTCCTCCAGGGCAAAGGGAAAAGGTGTTTTGCCTGTGGCTAGAGAACCTACAACTCCTGACTTCCGGGTAGCTATAGTCTGGGGGAGGAGCCACTAGCCCCGAGACCAAGATGGCAGCTTCCCACCCCCGGATCCTTCCGGCCCCTTTACCAAGATGGCGCTCGCCGGAAGTTACGTGAGGGGCGGGACGCTCGCGTGCGCAGGCGCGCGTCGGCTCGCGAGACGCCGGGAGCCACGTTCTTTCTTTGGCAAGATGGCGGGGGGGAAGAGTGGCGGCGAGCGGGGCTCAAAAAGCGAAGCCGATTCCGGCTTCCTGGGGCTGCGGCCCACTTCGGTGGACCCGGCGCTAAGGCGACGACGGCGAATCCCGAGAAATAAGAAGCGGGGCTGGCGGCGGCTCGCCCAGGAGCCGCTGGGACTGGAAGTGGACCAGTACCTGGAGGACGTGAGACTGCAGGAGCGCGCCAGCGGGTGCGTGGGCGGGACTTCCGGGCGCGGGGCGTCTTCCGGGGCGCTGGAGACCCTCACGGCACCGCAGGGGAAGCGGGAGAATAGGTTGGGACTGATCTGATTGCTGGTCACGTCACCAGATCTTGCTAGTAGAAGCAGAATGCCCAGGGGCCGGGACGATGGTACCGTGCAGAGGGCGCTTGCCTTGCACGCGACCCACCCGGGTGATTCCAGCGCGGTGTCTGGACCCCCGAGCACCGCCAGTAGTGATCCCTGAACGCAGAGCCAGGAGTAAGCCCTGAGCACCGCTGGATGTGGTCCAGATATTCCCATCTTCCCCCAAAATAAGCTGCACCAAGAGGATGAGTTTGCTCCTCTCTAACACATTTGTCGCACTTTTCTTTCCCCCAGTGGCTTGGTGTCGGAGGCCCCCGATGAAAAACTCTTTTTCTTGGACACCGGCCCCCAGAAAAAAGGTGAGGAATGGCCTTCGTGGTGGGGCAGGTTGCTGGGTCTTGGGTCTTGTCTAGTGCGCCCCCACCTCCACCCCCACCCCAGCTTCTGGGAGTGTCCGCGTGAAAGTGATTTTTTTTGCAGAAGTGTTTTGTGTATGGGTAGATAAGGTTGAAGCTCGGGGCTTAATTCTTGTTTGCAGAAGAGTAAGTTAGGTATCTTTTATAAGAAAGCAGGGGCTTGAGGGCCTGGAGAGACAGGTCTGTGGCAAGGAGAGGGTGCTTACCTTGCAAGTGGCCAACCCAGGTTCCATTCCCAGCATTCTAGGAGTAGTCTCTGAGTGTAGAGCCAGGTGTTACCTGTAAGCATCACTGGGGTGTGACTAGGAAACAAAGACATCGAGGGGAAGTGCAGGGGTTAAGGTGATTGCCTAGCATGCACTGAGACTTACTGTCATTGGTCCATCCACGTGGCCTCCCTGGGCCTGAGTGACCCTTGGAGCTGAGGCCCTGGTGGGTATAGCCATGAGTCTCAACGGCCTGAGACACTGATGTGGGTATTTTTCATCTGCTCTCGGATGGGGTTTTGCTCCAAGGGTGGGGAGATGACGGGAGAAGGGGTAAAGGCTGAGGCAGGGTCCCCCTCTTGCCATCTCTCAGAGCCAACAAAGAAGAGACCGACAGGCCGAAAGTCGCTACATAGGAAACCCCTCCGGGTGGACCTCATCCTAGAGAACACTTCCAAGGTCCCAGCCCCCAAAGAGTAAGTGGTTGCCACATCTTGCCTGGTACACGTGGAGCAGAGATAGGAGCTCTACTTTGGGTCTGGGAGAGCAGATGGGGGCTGCGACGCTGTGGGGTGGCACTGGGTGGAGGGAGTAATGAAGCCCCAAAGGGGCTGGGGGTCGGGGTGCAGGAGTGCAGGAGCAGGAGCAGGTGACGGGGTGACATGTGGGCCAACCCCGAGACACAGGCAGGGGAAGGTTGATGGCTTTGGGGGCTCTGTGGGGTTGGCAGGTGAGGTTCCTGGGGACCCTGAGACGCTGGTGGGGTTGATCTGGGGCTCAGGCTGATAGGGGGTGATGGTTGTGGATTCTGTAGGTGAGTGGTCTGGAGAGTCTATGGTGGGCGCTGGCTGGGTGGGCAGGCCCTTGGGGGTGTCTCACCTGCCTCCCTGGGTGCCACCTCCTCTCCCCTGCAGCGTCCTTGCCCACCAGGTCCCCAATGCCAGGAGGCTGCGGCGGAAGGAGCAGCTATGGGAGCGGTTGGCTCAGCAGGGTCGGCTGCCTGGGGAGCTGCGCAGAGCCCAGGCCCGGCTCCTCAGCCCCCCCACACCTCCAGCCGAGGCCGCACCCCAGGACACGGCTCTGCGGCCCTTCTACGATCTCTGGGCCAAAGACAGTGAGTCACCAGCTGGCACCCCCACTTTTGGGTATGGAGGGGCTCTATTCTCCGCCTCAGCATCTCTATTGGAGACTCCTTGGCCCCGCCCCCCATCCCCGGGAGCCAGAGGGCCTGTCCTTCCCTGGTGCTTGCTGTGAGGAAGAGCCCCCTGGGGCCTTCTGGCTGCCCCAGGTAGCCCCAGCCACCCACGCTGTCTCCGCAGACCCCTTGGACCAGCCCTTGGTGGGCCAGGACTCCTTCTTCTTGGAGCAGACCAAGAAGAAAGGGGTGAAGGTGAGACGGCGTCCTGGGCTGGAGGGGGGCGGGGTTCTCTCACAGGGTGATGCTGTGGTGGTCCCCCTGGCCAGAACAAGGGTCACCTACTCTTGAGGGGGCAGGTGAGAAGGGCCGTAGGGGAGTCGGGGAGGTTCCCAGAAAGGGCATGTGGGGTCCGGTATGGTGGGGTGGGGTCCAGTCCTCTGGGCTGGACCCTCAGCCAGAGAAACCCACATGCAAGCTTCAGGGCTTGTGAGCCAGTGATGGGTGGAGTAGGGGAACCCCAGCTTGCAGAGGCAGGGGTGGGGTGGGGCACAAGGAAGGTGGGGCTTGTCCAGGCCCCGGGGTGCATGTCTAGGGGCAGATTCTGGTTGGCGGAAGCCAACCAGACACTGGGACTCAGTGTCTGTGGGTGCAGGCAGAAGCATCTCGATATTGGCACTCACTGTAGGGCCGCAGACTGCATCCCTCCCCTCTTTGGGGTAGAGCTGCCCTGGGAGTGGGCGTTGACCTGGGTGCTACCCCCAGGACCCGGTGCCCACGGCCTGATCCATGTCCCCTCCAGCTCTAAGGCTCCAGCCCCGTGCTTTGGGGGCTGCCATGGGTGCCCTGGACTCACTTTCCTTTGCCCTCACCCTGCAGCGGCCGCCACGTCTCCACGTCAAGCCCTCCCAGGCCCCTGCAGTGGAGGTGACCCCTGCCGGGGCCTCCTACAACCCCACCTTTGAGGACCACCAGGTACGCCGCTACCCAGCCCCTTGCCAGGTTCTGCCTCTGGGGCCCACCTGGTGAAGGGAACTTGGGTGACCAGGCAGCTCCAGTCTAGTTCTTTTGGGGGTGTTGGTCCTTTGGGGGAAACCGACCCTGTTCAGGTATGATGGTTTTTGAGTGGGGGGTGCTGGGCTGGTGGAGAATGGAAATCAGGGAGGCTTCCTGGAAGAGGGTGTCAGGGAGTCCGCAGGCTGGAAGAGGGGAACACTTTATTGATCTGCCACCCTGCACATTCCCCTCAGCTGATGCCCCCAGTCCCAGGCTCTCTGGCTATGGACTATAGGGGTGCTGAGGGGCAGGCAGCCAGCAGTGCGGTTCCAGGAGGGGCTCCTGGAGCCTCAGCCCTGCCTCTCTCTGCCCCCAGAGCCTGCTCCTGGCCGCACACGAGGTCGAGGTGCAGCGACAGAAGGAGGCCGAGAAGCTGGAGCGGCAGCTGGCCCTGCCCCCGGCGGAGCAGGCGGCCACTCAGGTGAGCCCCCACCGACCTGGCCGGCCCTGCTGGCCCCCTTGGGTGGGGGGTGCTGGGCTGGTGGAGAATGGTCAGCTAGCGCTGACCCCATGATCTCCTGTGTCCCCAGGAGACGGCCTTCCAGGAGATGTGCCAGGGTCTGCTGGAGGAGTCGGACGGGGAGGGTGAGCCTGAGGAGGCCCGGCCTGAGCCCGCAGAGCCCCTAACTGGAGGCACCGCGCCTGCCCGCCTGGCAGCTGGGGAGAAGAAGACAGAGCAGCAGCGGCGGCGGGAGAAGGCGGCCCGCAGGCTGGTGAGTCCCCTGGCAGGGCCTCTGGGGAGGGGCGGGTGGCCCGACAGTGCTGCCAAGCCCTGAGCCCCCTGTGTTCCCCAGCGGGTGCAGCAGGCCGCATTGCGGGCCGCCCGGCTGCGGCAGCAGGAGCTGTTCCGGCTGCGCGGGATCAAGGCCCAGGTGGCGCAATGGCTGGCGAATTGTGCGCGACGGCGGGAGATGCGGAGGCAGCGGCGCCTGGCTGAGGCCCACAAGCCCCGGCGGCTGGGGCGGCTCAAGTGAGCGGGGCTGGTGCTGGGGGCCTGGGTCTGGGTCTGAGACTTTCGCCTGTTCCTGTCCCTCAACCCCCGCATTCCCCCAGGTATCAGGCTCCCGACATCGACGTGCAGCTCAGCTCGGAGCTGTGTGGGTCACTGCGGACGCTGAAGGTGCGTGCTGGGTGGCATCCGCACCCGTGCCCGCTTGTGCCCGCTGATGACACATCCTTGCTCCCCGTGCCTTTGGCTGTGGGCGACATCCTGGCTGCCCCAGGCCGAGCCAGTGGGCTGAGCCTGGGGACTGAGGGCACAGGGCCGGGGGCCGGGGGTAGGCAGTCTGTGCTCTGTGCTCTGGGGTCCTGCCGCTGGTCACCTCCGTTCTGCTGAGGCCTCAGAGCTGGTTCAAGGGTCCTGGGGTTCCATGTCTTCCTCCCCATGGTTGCACCCCAGGATTTTAGCACAGGATGAGTGTGGGGTCTGTGGGGCTGTGGATCGGAGCCCCACTGACCCTCATCCCTGTGTTGCAGCCGGAGGGGAACATCCTGCGGGACCGATTCAAGAGCTTCCAGCGGAGGAACATGATCGAGCCCCGGGAGCGAGCCAAGTAGGAGCGGGGGGCGCAGGCAGGGTGGGGTCACCTGTCCCTGCTGCCCCTCCTTACCGCTCTCCCCTGCCCTCAGGTTCAAGCGCAAGTACAAGGTGAAGCTGGTGGAGAAGCGGTCGTTCCGCGACACCCCGTGAGTGCTAGGCCCTTCCTGCTCCATGTACAGGGCTCCCCAGGGAAGCAGCAGGGCCCCAGCCTGAAGGGGGTGTCTTGGGGCGAGGGTCTCTGCCGCGTCCTGAACCCCGCTGTGTCCACAGGTTGTAGCCGCTGACGGCGCTGGAGCCTCCCACCCCATGCCCAGTAAAGCTCTTTGCACCCATCTGGACTCCTGTGTGCTCGTCCTCCGCCTGCAGTGACCCTCCCATGCACAGACCAAGGGGTCTGGCGGACACGGGGGCGGGGGATGGAAAGCGGCTCACAGGTTGTCTGGGGCAGCCCCTTTCCCACTTGGGGCAGAGCACAGCTCCTGCTTGGCCTGAAGTGGGGGGTGGGGCTGGGTCACACTTGGCAGTGCTCCCCGCTACCACTGGCTCAGCCGGGCCTGGAGGTGCTTTGGGCCCCCGCACAGTGCGGAGGGTCAGGCTGGGCTCGACTGCGGATGCACAAGCGTCTTAGCCCCTGTCCTGAAGGAACTTTGGTTTTATTTGGGGGCCATACCTGGCAGTGCTTGGGGCTCATTCCTGGTGGGGCTTTGGGGGGGCCCCTTTGGGGAGCCGGGCGTGGAAGCCAGGTCGGCTTCACACAAGGCAAATGCCTTCCCTGCTTGCTTGGCTTCTGCTCGGGGACTCTTAACTTTCTCCATGGTGCCTCTTGGCAGTTCCTGTTCCTGTTGGTCTTAATTGCACCCTTTGGGGTGTGAGTTTCTCCGGAATGAATGAGGTGGTGGCAAAAAATGGAGCCAGTGGCCCCTCCCTGCAGCCTTGAGCTCCTCCTGCCCCACAGCTTTTCGGAGTATGGCCTCAGAGCACTTCCGCCCCGTTCAGGCCCAGAAATAACCAGGAATGTGGGATAGACAGGAAAATGGCCTCTTAGCCCTGGCTTTTGCCCCAGAAAGCCGGCCCTGGGAGGAAGCTTTTATTGCCCCGACAGGGTCATCAGTATGTGGGTGCCAGGGCGCTGGCTGAACCCCTTGCCCTGAGGGCAGCTTGCCCTGCCTGATGGGAGTTGGGGGGACTGCAGGAAGCTGGAGCAGGAGGCCAGTCCCCTTTCTGACAAGTGCCTTACTGAGAGCATCTGGAGTTTGCATCAGGACGGGGTGGGCGAACGGCTAATGACCGGCAGCCAGTACGCTCTGTCCACAGTTTCATTCCAGATGCTGGGGTGGGTCTGGAGGGTTGGGACCAGGGGACCAGCCACCCTTTGATCTGCGCTGCCTGGGGCTGCTAAGACAGGATGTGGTCGGGTACCTGCCTTGCACGGCCCAGCACTGTTCTATCCTGATACCAAAGCCCTGAGCACGTCTGCTGTTGCCATCGCCCATCTCCATCTCCCAGAAGAGAAAATGTCCTCATTTTTAGGGGGAGGCACATTGGGGGGGTTGGTAGTCATGGAGCATTGACCCCCTCTGGAACCCGGAGCTGATGCTCTTTTCCTGAAATGGGTGCCCCTAGCTGAAAGTCTGGGTCACCTCATGGGAAGTTGGGAGAATGCCTACCAGTTGGGGCTGAAATGAGTAATAAATGTATGAATGCGAGGGTCTGGTGTGTGTATGGCGGAGGGGCAGCAGCATGGACCCCCCTCCTCCTGCTCCTAGCTGTGCAGCCCAATGAAGTCCCCCATCTGCCTGGAGTCCCAGGCTGAGCAGATCCCCAGGTGTGGACCCAAGGCCATGAACACCACAGACAATAAGGAGAGGAAGCTGGTCCTGGGCCAGGCTCCATGCAGACTCGCTCCCCCAATTACTGATCTCACCCTCGGGAACGTGCCTGAGGAAGTGCTGCAAGTGTGTGTGGGAAGCAGAGTACTGTGGCGTGGTCCCCACCACTGGGGAGAATAGAAGGAAATGGTGAGGGCTGCAGGCAGGCCTGGCCCCAGGGGTCACCACGGTCACCTTGCCAGCAGGAAGCCAGGCATTGGCTCTGTGAGAAAAGCAAACAGGATCTGAGGTTGTGCACAGAGGGCTCACCAGAACACTCCGACCCCCCAAGCCTTGGGGATGGTGCAGGGGTGCTTGGGCCTTGCGTGCATTACCACATTATAAACATGGGAACGCAGGAGTTGCAGACATTGGACAGCATGTGGCTCACCTGGGTTCAATCCTTGGCAGGCCTGAGCTCTGCCAAGACACCTGAGCACAGAACTAGGAGTAAACCTCAAGTATTGCCAGGTGTAGCTCAAAAGCCAGGAAAGTTAAAATATTGGATTCCAGAGCCCATAAAGATGGGGGGTGAGGGGGTCGCTTGCTTTGTACACAGTCATCCTGGGCTTGATCCAAACCCTGCATCACATACGGCCCTCTGAGCCCCGCCAGGAATGATCCCTGAGCACTGCCAGTGCTCCTCACCTCAAAAAAAGTGGAGGAGGGGAGAAGTGTGCGGGCTTAAGTGGGAAGCAGTAAGTGCTGCCGCCCTCCCACCTCCCTGTGTCACAGAGGCGACCAGCACATGACTGGGCAGAGGGGAGGACCCCTGAGAACTGGGGAGATGCCCAGGTCAGGAGTGGTGTGGTGGCGGGCCTGGAGCCATAGTACAGCAGGGAGAGCGTTTGCTTTGCATGCGGCCAACCCGGGTTGGATCCCCAGCATCCCAAATGGTCCCCCGAGCACCACCAGGAGTAATTCCTGAGTGCAGAGCAATCTGTGTATCACCAGGTGTGACCCCAAAAAGCAAAAAAAAAGGAATGATGTGGTGGTGTCTCCCTGGGGTCCTATGTGGACACTTATGTGCACACTGCATCTTCTAAGTCCAGTTTCAGGATATGGAGTTATTTGGCGGGACAGTCTCCAAGGTAGCTGCAGCTTCTAGAATGGACTGAGACTCCTGAAACATGTTCAGTGTGTCCACATTGTGCCCCATGCTGGAACGTGGGGCCCCAGGCCTAGAGATGTGGGTTGGGAAGAGGGTCTTGTGGGTCACGGTGGATGAGGGGAGATGGGGATCAGGCTGCTGTGGACAGGGGTGTCTGCCTTGCCTTGTGTTGCTGCCTGGTGCCTCCCCCAGTGGCAAGCTGTGAGTTCGGAGCTCACGAGAGTGGACCACTTAATCTATAAATTGATTCATCTACTTCCATATCCATCCATCACTGACCTATACCCACTACTTGTCCATACACCCACCATCCAACCATCCACTTACCCATCTGTCCAGTAACATTCTTCTATGGTCAGCTTCCCAGACCATCTGCCACCTATTCATCTACTTATACTTCCCCTTATAGACTCTGCACCGTCTATCCATACCCACTTAGTCATCCACCCATCCACCTGCCATCCACCTTCCATCGACCCTACATTCACTCATCCACCATCCATCCATGAACCCACTCACCCACTTGCATATCTCTATATCCATCCATGCACTCATCCATCACCCATCCCCTTGCATCTGCCATCATCCATTTATCCATCCATCCATCGCTCACTCATATCCAGGCGCCGTTGTCCATCTGCTTAACCTCTACCCACCAATCCATCTCTGCATCAAGACAGAGTGTGCCTTTCACACATAGTTTGTGTAGGTCAGGATGAGGTGAGGGCTGCTGGGGGACCCAGGAAACTGACCGGGACGGTGCCTGGGCTTTCCAGAACTGGGTCACAGAACTTGAGCTGGGAGATGGTACAGTGGCATCACATACAGGACTCATTCACTGAGTGGTGGAGCTCAGATTGGAACATTTTACTGGGTTCAGATCAAAGTTAAATAACAAAACTGGGGACTGAAGCGATAGCACAGCGGGTAGAGTGTTTGCCTTGCACGCGGCTGACGTGGGTTTGATTCCCAGCATCTCATATGGTCCCCCGAGCACTACCAGGAGTAATTCCTCAGTGCATGATCTAGGAGTAATCTCTGTGCAATGTCAGGTGTGACCCCCCCGCAAAAAAAAAAAAACTGGCCGGAATGATAGCACAGCGGGTAGGGTTCCCGCCTTCCATTTGTCCCATCTAAGTTAGATCCCCGGCACCCCATATAGTTCCCTGAGAATCACCAGGAGTGATTTCGGAGTGCAGAGCCAGGAGTAACCCCTGAGCACTGTCGGGTGTGACCCAAAATAAAAGAACAGGCTCATAGGGAAGGCAGAAGTGACTTGAGGAAATCTCCCACCCCAAGAGTCACTGAACAAACCCAGATTTCTGCAGACTCGTGGGACTCTGTTCATGTCCCATCTCTCATGTCTGTGACAAGGGGAGGACCCAGGGCCTGGGAAGGCATCTGCCCCTCACCAGGAGAGCGTGCCCAGCACCCTGCTCGGACCTTGTGCGCCTGCCTGAGAATGCCTTTCCCCTTTAAGGATGCAAATGATTCCGTCTGCCAAGAGCAGTCCACAGGGAAGTGGACCACGCCCTCTGTCCACCTCACTGGTACTTGCCTCCAAAGATAAGAATTATTGTCGGGGAGAGGAAGATAAGAGTGACCGGGTGCCAACAAATGGCTTGTCCGGCCTTCCTGTTTCAGTATGGGTTGTGATTTTTTTCACTATTCAATTGTTAAGAACATTCAGATCCGTGCCAGAGGGTTTGAGTGCGTGTGAAGATTGATCGTGTTCGTGGTTGGGGCTGTGGCGACAGCAGGCTCAAGAATAAGTCATGGAGCATGTACTCACAGTAGCATGCACCGACTGTCGTCACTGAGACTGCTGGTTTCTGTTATGGGGGCCATATCCTGTGGTATGGTAGGCGCCCAGGGGTTCACAGGGGCCACTCCAGGTGTTGCTCAGGATTTGGCGGGGGGAGGGGGGTGGTGTGCTGCTGAGGGTCAAACTCAAGGTCTCGCATGTCCACACCTTCTCCTCGCCAGTCCTCCCCAGCTGCCATCGGAGTGGAGAGGAAGCCAGGCAGGGCAGCAGTGGGAGAGAACGTTCTGGGGGTACACGAGGTAGGACCAGCGGCACCCAAAACCCCCGTGAGGGTAGAGGACTTCAGGGGTGATGAGTGCCCCACAGACAAGAGGACACACAGGGCCGGGGAAGAGACAGTTGGGTTTGAGTTGGGGGTGCCCGTGAGAGCACCCAGCATCCCACGCATGCTCAGCGCCTCTGAGTCAAGACTGGGGTTTGGCTTTGGTCAGTATTGGGAGGACGTGAAGGGAAGAGTTCCTGGCAGAGGGGAGGGGCTGGGAGGGGGATCCGGGTCACACTGTGGGCCGAGCACCGGGAACTGC